ATTTATCAATCGTAAGATTTTCTTTTAACTTAATCGTTAAATGTGAATTCTTGGGTTGAGTTGAATGTTTGTGTTGATTCGATTATGATTGGCTAAATCCTATTGCTATTGAATAGGAGATTAATGTTTTGAATTCGTTTGTGATTGTGGTGCTTGTTGATCGTTCTTTTATGTGAGTTGATCTTCAAAAGGGTTTTTCAATTATTAAGCTTGAATATTGAGAATTGTTGAAGAGCGACACTTCAATTTTCAATTATTTTCAATTAAATTTGATTTATTCGTGCATGATGTTGGTAATTCTAATTGATTAGTCGGTTAACCACCCTCTAGTCTATCTTAATCGATTCTTAGAACTGAAAGGGGGGGAGTCGGTCGAAATAGACTCGTATAAAATAGGCTTGTTTATAACTGTATCGCCTATGTGTTAAATAACTCGATAATTTGCCGTTCATGTTTGTCCTCTTGTTAAGAAGAGTTATTGAGGATAAATATCTGAATGAGTAGGTTATTCGATTCATGTAACTGAACGATCACTTGCCCGATAATTGCATTTCGAACCAAAATGGATATTCCCGACTCCCTAGCTTTTTAAATCTTGCTTGTTCTTCGTTGTTGTTTTGCTATTTCATTTGTTTTGTTTGAATTGCAGTAGTTGATAATTAAAAATCAAAACCCCAACCTTATAATTAGAATCAGAATGTTTAGGAATTTTGTTTCTCTTTTTGTGATTGAAGAAACGTGCATAATAATCCGGCTAACCTTCCTTGCGATACGACCTGAGAAACGAATCTTTCGATTCTACTACGGTAAAAATATTTACAACAATAGTCAAAAATTCAAAAATGGTCCTATAATTGGCAAAAGTCCAAAAAATCACCCCTTCATTGACCACTTTTAAATTGAGTCCAATAATTGCAATTTAATCAATTTAGTCCATTTTTATCCGCACCATGGATAAAAATGTGATCTGGTGTGACATGACGCCTAGTCAGATTCATTTACGATTTTTCAAAATATGACGTGGCATATTACTCATCGATATAAGAAAAAAAAATTATTTTATAATATTTATTTATTCATCTATATAAGAAAAAAATAAAAATTATACTTATTTATGTTCCATATAATACTCAATTATTATTTGTTTTATAATATTTTTTGTCATATAATGTCATTATTATTGTTTATGAAAGTTATAGAAGTAGTCTTTTTCTTCTTAGTTTATCTAATTAAATTAAAACTAAAATTTTATGTATAAATGTTTTTTTTTTTGCCAAAACCATAAGGGGAACTATTATAAATCAAATGCACAAATGTGCGAATAAAAGATACAACGCTCCCAACGGGAGAATAAACTGAGAGTACAGGTCTGACGCCCGCCTAGAAGCCCGACACTAGCAACGCTAGATACAAAAACAAGACTCATGAAACAACTACCACTACGAAACAACTAACACAACAAAACAGAAGAAGAACTACAAAGCTCCCAACAAGAGAATAGAGACAGGAGCTGCTCCCAACAGGAGAATCAAGGTACTCCCGCTCAGTTGCTGAGGCCAACGGCCCAAACCAAAACCACAAGAACCTAAAAAAATACAACCACAGAAAATACAACCACAAAAGCAAAACAAAAGAAAACGAAGCAGAAGAACAAACTACACACAAGCCTTTCCACATAGGCAGCTCTAAGACGAGCCAACAGACACCAATTCAACACCCGGAGGAATCCTTCAACCCGAGAAAGTCGACCCCCCCACTGCAAAACCGCATTGTTGAGCCGAATCCGAGCTTCAAAATAACCCCAGAATATTAAATCTCCCTTAGTCGGAGACCCCTCAAACTCGCCCAATAGCCGCAACACCAAGTCGGCTAACACCATTAGCAACTCGGAGCCACTGACTGACTCCCCGGAACCAGCACCAGATAACCGAGGAGTGGAAGCAAATTTGAAGGGCCGCAACCCTAGCCACTTCTGCCCTAGGCCACGAGCCACCGGAGCCGCGCCTGACCCCGCCCCTTGATTCTGCCCCTCGCCCATTCCACCTCAACCCCGCAGTGCTCAACGATCGAGAGCAAGAAGAGAAACCCACCGGAGTAGGCGCCCAAATCAGGTTGAACACAGCCATGGGAGAACCTAGAACCGGGAGGTCGCAATCTCCGGGAAGGGCCGAGAGGCTAGGGGACGCCTACCAGAAAACCTAGGATTCCTTGTGGAAGGCGACAAATTTGATATTTGAAGGCGGATCTGGAGGAGAGAGATGGAGCGAGAAAAGAAGGCGACTTGTATAAATGTTTACAAACAAAAATTCTATGGAGCCGTGTCAGTACATCGATATAAGAAAAAAAATAAAAATGATACTTATTCATGTTCACCATATAATACTCAATTAATATTTTTTGTCCAATGTGTATTTATTGTAGGACACGTGTCAATATATTATTTGTAAATAAGTGTAGATGACTTTATAAGCCGTGTCATCCGATAGCTCCATAGTAAGATTGTTTTTACAAAATACACACATATTTTTTTAGAATTTAATTTTCTCATAATAATTGAAAAAAATTGATTAAGGAAATTGCAAAATAATAAATCCTTACATAATCAAGAGATTTTTCTAATTTGCGACTTTATTAATTTTTTTAACATATTATGTAGTATAAATATATATTATACAATTAATTTATTATGGAAACAAATAAAAAAAAAAT